TTACACACACACACACACACACACACACACACACACACACACACACACACACTTACTTTACTCTTGAAAAGCACAAGAACATTACAGATCTACATAAAACAAAACAAATCTCTTGAATGCACTGCTCCTCCCCCAGTCTCCTCCCCCTCCCCCCCTTTTGTGAATCCCTGGGTTTGGTTCCAATCCAAGGAGGCAGTGCTGCCCCTGAGCTGCGGGCCCTGGGGTCCCTGCCTCAGAGGTGGGCTGCTTGGCGGGCTGCCCCAGAGCCATAGACCCTGGAAGCTATGGGATCCCCAGCTCAGAGGCCGTCTGGCAGGCAGGCTGCCATGAAGCCATGCGGACAAACTAGAAGGAAATCAGACAGGATTCTTTCAGAACACAGATATATTCCCTAACTGTCACAGTGACTTCCTTGTATGGAGCATATTTGTGGGAGGACAGCCCTTTTCATAAGACTTTAAAAGCAGAAGCTGGGAAGCTAGAGGAGGATTTATTGTATAGAGGGAACGAAAAGGGATGGAACTGTGCTATAAAGGAGAGCATGCCACATTTTGGGGACGTGGGAAGCAAGTTGCCTGAGAAGCATACGCATCCTCAGCACAGCATAGTAAATATACTCACCTTAGGTGCTAAGAGTTAAGTGGCATGGGCTTTGAGGCAGCCTACTTCCAGCGATCTATGTGTTTACACTGGCCACCAAATACAAAGAATAAATCATGACGCTTCCCAGGCAGAAAAGGAGAACAGTAAAAAGGGAAAGGCTCCTATTAGCTAAAGTGAGAAGACTCAGCATGTCACCATATCACAAAGCAATGAGGAACAGCAATCAAGAGATGTGTTATTGTTGGGAACAGCAGAACTTCCTGTAATTTTGGCTGAAACTTAAACAGCTATGAACTTAAAACAGTGGTTATTGGATGAAGGGCGTTTTTTAAAATTAAGGGTTATTCTTGGATGCTAAAGTTCAAAAACACAAACAGAGCAAATCAGAGTCTTAAAAAATGGCCAAGATCTTGGCCAACTTCATTGTAGTTCTGTAAACACAGTAGTGTGGTAGAGCATGTTAGCTCACAAAAGTAAAATTATACTATCAGATAAGTTTGTCTGTTACAGCTCTTCCAGTATGTGTTGGATTTAGTGCTGCTTTTTTGCTCAAGTTAACTTTAGCTGATTGCAATCACACAATTCATTTTTCATTATGAAATTCAAATTTGCCTACGTTCTAGCTCCACTCTGCTGCCAAAATATAAACAAGTGCCAACCATTTGGCATGACTCCACTTTTCTTCTGTATGACTATTCTAATGTTCTGGAGGGCAGGTCATAGTAAAATGTAAAACACACTGGCCTATTGTAGCTCAAGGGGATTGTGATTATCTGTCAACAACCAGGACTCCTCCTATTGCTGCTTTCATCCTTTTAGAACTCTCTGAAACACAGAAGCAAATGCCAAGTGTAAATTGAACAAATAACATCCAAAACTGACCCAGACAAGCAGCCACACCCATGACAGCTAGAGTATGAAAGTATGAGTCAAGAGGGGGAAGCACTTCCTCTTTCAGATCTGGACTGTTGAAGAACTGCATGGTGATGTGATGTACTACCAAGTGTTCTAAGAGCCTGAGGATCATAACTAATTTGCTTACATGTTTATATAAATATATATGAATTCTGTCAATTTATATTCCCCCCGGTGCATTTAAAAACACAGCCTACAAACCTTAAAATTGACTTTTTTTTCTTTTTAGTCCATCTTTTTCATTCTCTCATAACATTTTACTTTCCTTTTCTCATACAACTCTCTCTCTCTTCCTTTCATGATGTTCTCTTTCCTCTTCCTGTTTCTACCATGGACTATTTTCTTCTCTGGTTTGCCTTCCTCTCCCTTCATTTCACCCATTGCCCTTTTCCCCTTCCCATGTCCAGCAGTGGGTAGTGAGTCAGAGAAAGGGGGACTGGGAAGGAGCTGCTGTTACTTGGCAAAGGATGGAGAGGTGTAGGAGCTGCTGGCAAGTGAAGGGAAAGGGAAGTGCTGCTTGTGGCTGGGTGGGAGAGAAGTGCCATGGCCTTCCAGGGAAGCACACAGCCTGCACCTGCTGTTCGATGTGCACAGAGACTGGGGGAGATGTCACTCATCTAGGCTGCATGTGTGATTGTGCAAAATACCTTTCTGTCAGCAGGCATTTCATTTCAACAGCAGCTCCTTTACTGTTATGAACTGCTAACCAAGGGTGTGAAACTCCATCTTGCGATGGGATGTGTCAGCTGCAGGTTTAGTTTTATTATAACCTATCTTTCCTCCTATACATCTTGCAATGCAAATTAATATATGTCATGTCCCAAGACATAAAGAGAAAACAAACACAGAAATTGCAAACATGTCTACCAACGAAATCAGAACCAATGTAAAAGTTCAAGGAGTGGCACAGGGTTTTCTATAAAAATTAATCATAGACACATGTAGGTTTAAGTACATACAAGAAATAATCCTTCATAAACAACAGAAAATTGTTCATGGCACACAGCAATCATATTTCAGGTTGCTCCAAAAGAACAGCCTCTGGAGCAATATGAGACTTGAATTATCATGATAAGATTAGGAAGACTCAGAAAATTAATTTTAAGGTAAATATAAATTTCAGACCAAAACCTGTTTTTTTGTTTGTTTTGGTTTTATTAAATTATCATTGGAATAATCCAATTGATCGTCATAGTTTTGACTGACCATATACTTGGCATCCAAAAATTATTTGCATAGTTGAAGTGCTGGAATAAAGAAAATACTTACATTCTCTTTGCTTTAATAATAATAATGATACAAAAAGCAGATGTAGTTAGTGAGATAAAGCACTCCTGCCTGGGAATTAATCTCTTATAAAATGCATGTTCTTAACAAGCAGTATCACCTCTCTCTTGTTTGGATTGAGTCTCAGCCAGCTCACTTCCATCCATCCCATCCCCTGTCCCATCTATAAAATGGCATATTAGACTGAGCCATCCAATTCAGATGAAAAGACTTAGGCTTGGTCTACACTACCCCCCTAATTCAAACTAAGGTACGCAACTTCAGCTACGTGAATAACGTAGCTGAAGTCGAAGTACCTTAGTTCCAACTTACCTTGGTCCACACTCGGCAGGCAGGCTCCCCCGTCGACGCCGCGGTACTCCTCTCGCCGAGCTGGAGTACCGCAGTCGACGGCGAGCACTTCCGGGTTCGACTTATCGCGTCCAGACTAGACGCGATAAGTCGAACCCAGAAGTTCGATTGCCAGCCGCCGAACTAGCGGGTAAGTGTAGCCAAGGCCTTAGAAGTGTGTGCCATCCACATGCTGATGGCAGCACAACACAGTCCATTGCACTTACCATCTCACTATCTCCCCCAGTGGCTTTTTACATACATGTTGAACAGAAGTGGCATTAGCATACAGCCTTGTAGAATCAGACAAGAGAACCTTCGGGGCACCCCTTGGATTCTCCTGTCCTGAAAAAACAGAACGAATAAAATGTGAACTAGTCT